AATGTTCTTCAGTTTAAAACGTATGTGATCCATTGGTTAAAAATAAATGGGTCAGTTTTTCTCATACCTACTCTTTTTCACTGTTTGACCTGATCGAGACTTTTCTAAGATTTTACACTACAAATAGGTAAAAGTGTGTGACTTGCACTGTTATGGTAACTGGTCAATATCAGTATCGGACAATTCTCAAAGTTGTAATATCGGTATCGTATCGGAAGTGAAAAAGTGGCATCGGGACATACCTAATCTGTGCCCTAAAGGGTTAATGTTCAGGGGAGGGAGGGGCTAGTTGTGTGAGTGGAGAGAGACGAGCCACGCTGCAGCCTGGCAGRGACAGAGGAGCTGTGTTTTCTGTGGGTCCAGCAAGTTGAAGCTGCCTGTCCTGTTATATTTTTAACGTATTGTTGAACTCTAGTTTTTAGATGACTATGACTGTTTTTGCACGTTGAGTCATTACGATAGCTTTTTAGCTTCACTACTTTAGCACATGCTCTGCATGTCGACGTCCGCTCTGAGTAAACAAACGAAGCTTCACCTGGCGAGGAGGCATGTAAAGCCTGGTGGTACATGGTGGGATTTTATTGTTTTTATGGCGAGATGACAAATTATTACCATGGTGAATGTCTTAGACTGTATATGGCACACAATAACATATTGCCCATCCCTAACTGGGACCAGAGCTCAGAGACCAGAGACAGTCCAGGGACCATTGTGTTCCAATCGTTCTGGAGTTGAAACTGAAACCTGATGGCAGTTTGTTTCACAGTATCTGCAGCAGGTTGGTTCAAATTCAAAACTAAAATATCTTTCTCATTTCAGAGGCTGTCTGTGTTCCGTACCGGCGCAGCATGAGTTTGGGGTTTTTGGCGACATATTGCTGAACCAGGTCCTGCAGCAAACTCTTCATGACCTCGGTGAAGTACTCCAGCTTATCGTGCAGAGCCATGGTCAGCAAACTGGCCACGTAGCCCCGGTCCCTCTGAGAGAAGCCTTGCTGGGCCTCCAGAGTGTGAATGAACTGTGAGACAGAACCACAACATCAGAGTCATCTTCAGGTCCCAGTCTGACCCGGTCTGACCTGGTCCACATGTCAGCTGTGCAGCACTCACCCTGGTAAGGAAAAGTTTGTTGTTTAAGAGGTTGTTAAGCTGACGAAGGCCCTGCTCCACAGTCTGCCTCCTGGACTCTGGCAGGTCCAGCTGCTGGTTCAGTGGCACCATCTGCTGACCGGGGAAGAAAACTCTCTCAACATACGTCTTGTAGTCCAGGAGAGGAAGTCCAGGCCCTCCAACATCACTGTTCAGGTCCATCATCTCTGTCATCAGGTCTACAAGAAGAAAAGAAGTCCAACAGCCTCAGGAACATTCAGGTGTTTTAGGTTCAGTCCAAAGTTTCCACTGTGTCACACTAAGAGGACAGAGACCTTAAGTTTCAACCTGCCAAAGGTACCTACAGACACACAGACAGGTACCTACAGACACACAGATAGGTACCTACAGACACACAGACAGGTACCTACAGACAGACAGGTACCTACAGACACACAGACAGGTACCTACAGACACACAGACAGGTACCTACAGACACACAGACAGGTACCTACAGACAGACAGGTACCTACAGACACACAGACAGGTACCTACAGACAGACAGACAGGCACCTACAGACAGACAGGTACCTACAGACACACAGACAGGTACCTACAGACAGACAGACAGGTACGTACAGACAGACAGGTACCTACAGACAGACAGACAGGTACGTACAGACAGACAGGTACCTACAGACACACAGACAGGTACCTACAGACAGACAGACAGGTACCTACAGACAGACAGACAGGTACCTACAGACAGACAGATACCTACAGACAGACAGACAGGTACCTACAGACACACATACAGGTACCTACAGACAGACAGACAGGTACCTACAGACAGACACACAGACAGGTACCTACAGACAGACA